TGAAGCATTTGGTTTAAAAGATGCAATTCAAAAATAAATCATAGCATTATTTTCCTCATCAGTGTTCACGCCTGAAGAAATGAGCTTCATATTGTTCAACATCTCTTTTCACATTAGTTCTTATTTTTAAAATTATACCCAATAGAGAGTTTGGTTCTATCAGTTCTATCCGCAAACATTCTAGGCAGAATCCTCTGGAGTTGCAGAAGGACACTGCAGGTGGGTAGGAAGACCTAGCAGCAAGGAACTGCTTCAGGCAAAGCAGCTCTAGTCTGCCAGTTTCTGTATTTCATTCAAGTGTTGTTTTTCGAACAGCAGCAACATTCATCCCATGATGATGCCACTTCTTGCCCAGTCCTGGTAATGTGGGGCAGGGACACTCCATAAGCGTACCACTACTATATTCCCGAGCTTCCTCCCTGGCTCATGAAGATATCGGTTGGATTTTGCATTTTGTCACCCATTGTTTCTTTCTTCAGTCCCCCTTCCATCCGCTCTCCTGAATATCTGCCCCTTCTTTCCTTTTCCTATTTCTTTCCTCATGTTAACTCCCCTCCCTTCCTGCTATTCCCCAAACTTTCCACTTTGAGTGCCATCATTCAATTTAAAATCTGTGTGTATTGAGGGGAAGAGGGAAGCAAAATAATTTGGAACAATCAAGTTATACATACACGCATTTGTAGCCACAAAATCTCATTACCGCTGCTCCCCTCTTCTTTTCCCTCTTACTATTTATGTTCATTATTTTAAATTAGATTGCAAACTCTTTAAGGCAGAGTTTGTGCTTTCCTCTGAATTTGTTTAGTGCCTTGCACAATGGGGCCTCTAACCTAATTAGAACCTGTAGGTGCTAACAAATTATTAATTATTAATTATTAATTATTATTATTATAATAATAATAATCAGCACAGGTCTCCAGAAGCATTAAATATCTTAGTTTTTTCCCACAGATTTAAGGTCAGAAAGGACCATTAGGATCACCTCATCTCCTTGCAACATTTAAAATGCTTCCTTCATGGTGAAGCATAAAAAAGACAACAGAAAAAAATCCACGACAATTATGGCGTTGGATTTCATCTCACTGACAAAGGATTTCCACAGAAAAGAAGTTGGCTGCATTTAGTATTTGGGAAAGCTTCATGCTAGGAACTGGGGACTTTTTAACCTAAGCCGTATACATAAATGGAGAGCTTTGATAAAACAATACCTGTTGATAAAACAATAAACCAAACTCTTAAGGACAATCCTCTTGACAGCAAACTAAAATGAGGCTGAAATTCCTTTGAAATGAAAAGACAAACTGAACTGGGTGGCTACGTCTAGACTGGCATGATTTTCCGGAAATGCTTTTAACGGAAAAGTTTTCCGTTAAAAGCATTTTCAGAAAAGCGCGTCTAGATTAGCAGGATGCTTTTCCGCAAAAGCACTTTTTGTGGAAAAGCATCCATGGCCAATCTAGACACACTTTTTCGCAATAAAGCCCCGATCGCCATTTTCGCGATCAGGGCTTTTTTGCGGAAAACAGTACTGTGCTGTCTACACTGGCCCTTTTGCGCAAAAGTCTTTCGGAAAAAGACTTGTGCCTGAACGGGAGCAGCATATTATTTCCGGAAAAGCACTGACAATCTTACATGAGATCGACAGTGCTTTTCCGGAAATTCAAGCAGCCAGTGTAGACAGCTGGCAAGTTTTTCCGGAAAAGCGGCTGATTTTCCGGAAAAACTGGCCAGTCTAGGCACAGCTGATTAGTCTCAGAGTTCTATAAGAAAGATAAGGGATCAGATACTCATCTGGTCTAAATTGAGATAGTTCCTTAAACTTCAGTGAATCTACACCAATTTACACCAGCTGAGGAACTGGTCCAAGAATCCTTGGAACTGTTCCTTTGTTTAGAATTTTGTTTTGTTCCAAACCAGGCTCTGATTTGGAAGATAAGTGGTTAGCAAACTGCCTCACCATTTACAGAAGGTGAGGATTCTTCTTCTCATCTGATTATGCACACAACTCATGAAAGAAATACATGAAATTACCCAGAGAATTGTTTCACAAGCCACAGGAGAGCTGACAAATACTCTTGTTTAATGCACAAAGCAATGCATGTAAAGTTTCCTGAGTACTTCTAGTGCAGAAAGGTGAGTGCTTGTGACTGTTTCAAAGTTTTACTTTTTTAGCTGCTATCATGGCACTTGGTATGTAGCTCCAGACTGAGAAGATAATCTCAGGTCAAATTGTTAGTAAACAGGGCAGGAATAGAGAGAGGTAACAAGTGGTGTCCCCCAAAGGTCCATACTGGTACCAACCCTATTCAACATATTTATAAATGATCTGGAGAAAGGGGTAACAAAATTTGCAGATGATAGTAAACTGCTCAAAATAGTGAAGACCAAAGTAGATTGTGAAGAGCTTCGAAAGGATCTCACAAAACTAAGTGATGGGGTAACAAAATGGCAAATACATTTTAATGTTGATAAAGGCAAAGTAATGTCCTTAGCTCAGGGGAATCTGGCACAGAGGTCTGTGTCAATAGGGATGCTCTCTTGCAAGGGTATGTGGCCTAATGGCCAGAGTCAATAGTGCTGCCCTCTCTTGCAGGCTCCAGCAGCTCCCAAGTAAGAGTCTGCTGCCTGGAGCTTCAACTGATCTTCCCCTGCCAGGGTGCTGGCACTTCCCTCAAGCCCTTCAAGGACTCAGTTCTTCCTCCTTGAGCTCCCAAGATGGAACTGATTCCTCTGCCCTCCTTATATATGGGCCTGCTCTGCCATGACTAATTGTACCTTGCAGCCCATCCCCATTCTGATTAGTTGCCTCCTGCACAGCCTCCCAGTGCAACTTTTAACCCTTTCTCCACCAGAGTGGGGTCGATGCCCCATTACCACTCCCTTGAGGTTTCTTAACAAAGTTGGGGTTAGGTTTATTCTTAAATCCTACCTCCTTTATGACTCAGAGTTTACATCCCTCTTGTGCCCTAGATTCAACATACTCATCAGCAATTTCTGCTGACATCAAAACTGTGGAAGGTTTTTTGCCACAAATGGCTGCTTTGACATGATCAGGAACCACTGAGGTGTAACAACTGCTTTTGCATCACCAAATGTAACAGCTTATCAAAGCTGCCTTCAACACTAGCCCCTATTTTTTTCACATAACAAAGCGGCTTATGCACATGTTCCGTATAAGTTGTATTGTCAGACTTTAAGCAATAAGACTCAGGGATGACTGTAAACCTTTTCAGTACAGCTTCCTTTAAGCTCTCATACACCATAGCGTCACCCTTCATTTCATTAAATACCTGACTGGCTTTTCCAGTCAATCCAGCTAATGAGATAGGCATCTGATTATTCTCTGAAATCTTGCAGATTTCACAGACTCTCTCAAAGGTGGATAGGAATTCCTCTGTACAGTCAGCCTGAGTCAGCTATTCTTTGTGCTTGTCCAGGATGTGTGTGAGCTCCTGCCTCTCTCTGGTTTGCTTCTTTCACATCATTTGGGTTTCCTTGGATCTCTCCTCAGCTTCCTTCTCCGTCTCAGTCATCTGGGCACTTTGACTGGCTTCCTTCTCTCCATCTCATCAACTAATTTTTCCTCTCTCATTCAGAGTTCATCATTTTAATTTGATGCTCATGTTGTGGCTCAGCTGCCAGCAAATGAATATGGATCACTCCTGCATCCAGGGCATGAGGATGCTCAGGGACTGCTTTTTGGCCATAGCCCACGAGCATAGCTCTCAGCCCCTGATCTGGGGTATCCTTCTTAATGTACAGAAAGTAGATGACCATAAACTTTTAAGCTCCCTTGGTGTCAAGACTTTCATATGATTGTAAATCATCCATTGTAACTAAGCTTTAAACCTTAAAACTCTCAATGTCAAATTTAAACTTTAGGGCTATGTCTACACTGCAGGCTTCTTGCACAATAACTGTTTTGCACAAGAGTTCTTGAGCAAAAGGTCTTGCGCAAGAGCACGTCCACACTGCCATGTGCTTTTGCACAAGAGATGTGCATTTGCACAAGAGCGTCCATGGCAGTGTGGATGCTCTCTTGCACGAGAAAGCTCTGATGGCCATTTTAACCATAGGGGTTGTGCAAGAAACCCCTGTTGCCCGTCCACACTGCTTTCTTGCACAAGAGCTCTTGCGCAAGAGTGCTTATTCCTCATGGGGAGAGGATTAACTCTTGCGCAAGAAGCCTCTTTTCTGATGCTTTACTGTAAATTTACTTGCCTAAGAATGCACGTGCAGTGTAGATGCTCCACATGATTTTGCTCAAGAACAGCCATTCTTGCGCAAGAAGCCTGCAGTGGTTTGGGGTTCTGACCCTAAAGCCCAATTGACCTGTGGCAACCGTATCCTGATGGGTACATCAGATTGTCACATTGCCTGGCATGTTGCTCACAATTTAGAGGCTAATCTCAGGTCAGACTGTCATTAAACAGGACAGACACCCCAAACTGGGTGTATACTCTATGATGATATTTAACCAAACCAGCAGCAAATGTCTACTCCTAGATCACTATTCTAGCTTACAATGGAGCCACAGACTGTCCCCTTAGATACACTTCAGTCTACACTGCCATCCAGACAAACTGGACTTCAGTGATGACAGCTTATTAACACTCAAAATCACCACATATTAGGTACTTCCTGCCACAAAGAGCTAGTCACTTACCCCCAGGATAATGGATGCTTTTTTCTTTTTTTCTGTCCTTCCAGCCCCACTATCCCTTACTAATCCTGATACATACTTATCCAGAAAACAGTAAGGCTAATTTTTGACACTGGTTTTCACCCTTTTTTAAATAGTTGAGATAAACACTGATACTTTCTCAGAAATGTAAGTAAATAAACAGAAATAAAAGCCCTTATTTATTCATAGACCACCAGTCCACATGGCCTACAAAATGATATTTTTCCTAGGCAAGACAAAGGCTTGTATTCATTTACATCCCTTTCACACATTATCGATTTGTAAGTACTATGATTTTGACTGTGTTACGTCTTACCTGTGTTATAAACTGGAATCCACTGGTAGAATTCATTCTTATAGAGAACTGTGTCAAATTCACTGCATTGCATCTGACGAAAGGTTGGTGTGTCTCGTCGACATGGCAGAATGTTACACATGCGGTAGCGTTTCCGTTCTCCAGTGCAATACCTTCCTCCAAACTGAGGCCTAGAAGTAAAGTGTGAATTTTTGGGGCTGCTGTAGTATGATAATGAAGATGCTCTATGCCAATGGGAGAGATCTCTCCCATCAAAATAGCTAATCCACCTTCTTAGAGGCAGCACCCCTTCTGCTGACACAGTACTATATACAGCAGGGGCTGGCAGGGTAGCTCAGTATTACTACATCACTGAAGGATGTGTATTTTTCAAACTCCCAAGTGATGTAACTATGCCAATATAGGTCTGCAGTATAAACAAGACTTCTGGCACTTCAGAAAATGTTACATGTAGTATTACATATTTAAGGGTATGTATACACTACCACCCTAGTTCGAACTAGGGTGGTAGTGTAGACATACCCTAAGAGAGTAACATATACATAGTTCATCATAGACTCACCCATGTCAGGAGCTGATCACTCCTTGGAGTCAAGTGCCTAACTATGTTTAAAGATCTGGGCCCTAAATGTTTCTGCCCTTTTTGAAATGGGACAATTTAAAAAAAGGCCAAAAGATACCTATGTCTCTAGATTCTTAAAATCCATCTCCAGAATCCCTCAGACTTCAAATGAAGCTGATTTAGGATCATATGTGAGTTGCTCTTGGGAATAGGTCATTAATCTTTACCCCCGCATAGTTATTGAACATATTGCAAATTATCCAAAGTACTTTTGTTAAAACAATGTTTTTGAGGTTTGTACTAAACCCACAGGTGAAAATTTCATCTCCCTCTGGGGGCAATTTCCAAGGAAGATAGACGACTCAGAAGCAAGATGTCAAGTATCAGAGGGGTAGCTGTGTTAGTCTGAATCTGCAAAAGCAACGAGGAGTCCTGTGGCACCTTATAGACTAACAGATTTATTGGAGCATAAGTGAGTGATGAAGTGAGTCTTTGCCCACGAAAGCTTATGCTCCAATAAATCTGTTAGGGTATGTCTACACTACAAAGTTAATTCGAACTAACAGACGTTAGTTCGAATTAACTTTGATAGGTGCTACACTAGCGCTCCGTTAGTTTGAACTTAATTCGAACTAACGGAGCGCTTAGTTCGAACTAGGTAAACCTCATTCCACGAGGACTAAGCCTAGTTCGAACTTACTAGTTCGAATTAAGGGCTGTGTAGCCCCTTAATTCGAACTAGTGGGAGGCTAGCCCTTCCCAGGTTCCCCCTGGTGGCCTCTCTGGGCACAACCAGGAAAACTCCACTCCTCTCCCCCAGCCCCAGGCCCTTAAAGGGATAGACCTTAAAGGGGTAGACTCTGGCCAGACGGCACTAGAGTCAGCCAGCCCTGCCAGGAGTCTCTGCCCCGAACCAGTGGCCCCACCATGAGCCAGGCGGCCAGTGCGAGTGACACGTCCCCTGCCCAGTCCCCCAGCACCCAGGGGCCCGCCAGGGGCCGTAGACGGCACGCGGCCTCCTGGACTAGTGCGGTGTGGGGCCAGGGCCCCAATCTCCATGATCTCGGCACTAGGAGGAGGAACGTGGCTGTCTATGGCCGCATAGCGACTGCCATGGCCTGAAAGGGACACAGGCGCTCCCGGGAGCAGGTGCGCATTAAAGTGAAGCAGCTGCAGCAGAGGTATGCCAGAGCCACCTGGGGCGGTGCCACTGCAGGGGCTGACACCTGCCCCTACTTCCCTGCCCTCGACAGACTCTTGGGGGGTGGGGCGGTCCATGCCAGCCCGGGGGACAGCGAGCCGGGACCAGAGAGCCCTGACCCGGGCACACCGGAGGGGCCACCGCAGGATGTCCCAGCGTCCAGGGAGACCGTACCGGGTAAGTAGTTCGAATTAAGTAGTTCGGGGGGGGAAGGTTCAATTCTAAAACATGACAAGCACTTTAGTGGGAGTAAGGAGTGCTCAGGTCCTCTCAGGAATATGTCTTTAATCAGGTTCGAATTAGCACTGTAGTGTAGACATACCCTAAGTCTATAAGGTGCCACAGGACTTCTCGTCACTTTTGCAGAAGCAAGATGAAGATTATAATGGGAAGGCTGGTGTATTCTAAACAAAAGTGTTTTTATTGGATGAAGTGGGTTCAGTGATTGACTTGCAGCAGTAGCTGTTGATAATATTGTGAGAAACAGAAGCGTCGCTATCCTCACAAATATGCCTCAGATATCTCATACACCTTGCATTATATAGGAAAGGCATTCAAAGAGTTGGTGATGGACTGTGCACTCAACTTACTCTGGATTATTGCAGTGTCTTTCTGCACTCTGAACTCCTGCCCCACATGTTCGTGTGCAATGGGACCAGGAGGACCATGTGCCCCATCCACCGTTTATCATTTCTGGATTCTTTCCCACTGGAATGCACTCCGCATTGAAGCACCACTGATTAATAAAGAAATGGCAAATACAGAGGATCACAAAATCATCAGTGCAAAATAAAATGCAGACTAAGGAATGCTTAAATAAAAATTGAGTCTGCTGTGTGTGTGCAGAAAACCAATTAGTCAGCTTGATGACCTAGAACAGTGGTTTTCAACCAGGGGTATGTATGCCCCTGGGGGGATGCAGACATCATCCAGAAAGTACCTCAACTCATCTAGATACTTGCCTATATTTACAACAGGCTACATAAAAAGCACTAGTGAAGTCCGTTCAAATTCAAATTTCATACAATGTTTTATTTACATTGTTATATTTGCTATGCATTGAAATGTACATGTAGTATTTATATACCAATATATTTTATTATGTGATAAAAATGAGACCCTCCAGCAGCAACTCTGGAGCATTTGTGAATTCCACAGGTGGGAGGACAATTAGTGGTGATGGAGGAGAGAAGCTGTGAGACAGAACTGACTTAAAATGAAGCAAATGTATCAGGGGAATGGTCCTTCTCTTGTGGGGAACTTTCCTGGCTTCTATACTACCTAGGTGAAATGGGCTAACGAAAGGTTCGGAGTCCCCGCTACCACTTCTTGTACCCAGAGGTCAACAATGCAAGGGCTCCCCTTCCACTCTACCATGTGGCAGAGTCCTTGTAACCCCAGTAAGACTGGGCCCAGGATTCCTGGTGTGGGGGCCTCAAATCTCAACTTCCAGCCTTCTTGTGGGCACTCAGGCTACATCTAGACTTCAGGATTCTTTCTGAAGAAGCTTTTTTCAGAAGAGATCTTCCAAAAAAACTTCTTCCGAAAGAGAGCATCCACACTGCAAAAGCCCATCGAAAAAGCGATCTGCTTTTTCAAAAAGAGCGTCCAGACTGAATGGACGCTCTCTTGCATTTAAGCTGTGATTGCTATGGACAAAATGGTCACCAGGCCACCTGTGCTGTTTCATTGGTAATCCTCATTCTACAATGAAGAAGCCTTTTTGTGAAAGAGCTCTTTCACAAAAAGGCTTCTTCATTGTAGAATGAGGATTACCAATGCGGGAAAAAAACACTGTTCGTTCGGTTTTCTTGCAGAAGAACACAACTGCAGTGTGGACTTTCCTCAAGTTTTGCCATTTTTCCAACAAAACTAGACATACCCTTAGGGTGTCCCTGCTCTGGGTGCTCTCTCCAGATGTGTCTAGACTACAGGGTTTTTTCAAAAAAACTACCTGCATCTAGACTACCATCACGTTCTGTCAACAGTAAATTGAAAGAACATGGCCGTTTTGTCGATGGTGGTAAACCTCATTCTATGAGGAATAATGTCTTTTTTCAAAAGTCATTTTTTTTAAAAAAAGCGCTATTGTATGAAAACAGGGCTTTTCCAAAAGAGAGCGTCTAGACTCTCTTTCAAAAAAGGGAGTTGCTTTTTTGAAAAATCTTCTTGTCTAGATGCTCTCTTTCGAAAGAGGCTTTTTTTGAAAGATACTTTGGAAAAAGCCTCTTTCGAAAGAGGCTTGCAGTCTAGACGTAGCCTCCCTGACCTACTGAACATTACATACAGTTCAAAGCAAGTACAAGGAGTTAACAGCAATCAATTTCAAAGGAATAAGGAAAATGGGAAAGGTTTGAGGAAAATACATGACCCCACTCTGTTGCATGGGATATTGCAAACAGCATCTCTGGAATGTAAGGTCAGTTCACAGTCTGTTCCTCACATGTCCCAAGGCCTCCCTCCCTGGGCCTGGGTGTGCTGCAGGGATGCTGTGGAATGGACACTACTCTGGCAGTGGCCACATGCCTTCTGGCTCTAAATAAGTAGCAGGGCCCTTTCCCCCAGCATCAGTCCCGTCCCCCCACATCCCTCACTCTCCCCAAATTCTCACTGCACCTGGCTCCAGACTGCTCTAGCACCAGCTTGTAGCCAGACACACCCTCCCTCCCGCCCCTCACATCCATCTTATTTGCCTCTCTGAGGTTCCTGAAGCATACAGGGCAGAGAAGGAGCAATAAAATCAGCATAGTCTATGCTGGCTCATCTGATCCTGAGAAGCTGAAAACATAGATATGAGGAGAGAGCGATTAAGGCAATAAGCTGAGCTCGAGGCTGCGAGAACTGCCTTGGCTGGCATCCATGTTGATACGAACACACAGCCGTCCCTGGGAGAGGAATCTCCCACTGCAAAAAGAATGCCCAGTACTTCCAATTTAGTTATCTCTCTTACAAGTATAAATTAAGTTCACGACTCCCTTGTAAGAACTGGTCTCACAAAAGACAGACCAGCACCATTTGGCATCACAGATAAGAAAGAGAAATATGTGACCCAATGGGTATAAAGATGGGTCCAGCAGCACACTCACTTTGAGTGTCAATCTACCATCTGCCTGCTGGTCGGGTTAGGTGTTTTGACCTCCCGAGGTTCCATGGGGACGCCCACCTCGTATTTTCGTCTTTCCTAGGAATTGAGGGACCGGCCCTGGCCTGACATGCTGGAGTCGAGAGACACAGAAGGGGGTAAAAATTGTACCTGGATGTGGTCCTTTGTCTTAAGTGTACACATAGACTTAGAGCTCTTTAAAGATTAAGCTGTCACTTGGTACCATTATTTCTATTTTCTATCTTTATTTTCTTTGTAACCATTTTTAAGATCTATATTTGCTAGCAGTTAAGAA